CACACACACTCTCTCTCACACACACACACAGACACACTCTCTCTCTCACACACACACTCTCTCTCACACACACACTCTCTCTCTGTCTCTCTCACACTCACACACACACTCTCTCTCACACATACACACACACACTCACACACACACACTCTCTCTCTCACATACACACACTCACACACACTCTCTCTCTCACATACACACACTCACACACACACTCTCTCTCTCACACACACACACACTCTCACACACACACACTCTCTCTCATACACACACACACACACTGAGACACACACACACACATTCACACACACAGACACACACACACACGCTCTCTCACATACACACACATACACACACACACACACTCTCTCTCTCTCACATACACACACAAACACACACACACACACCTTTGACCTGGACATACTCAGCCTCTGAACGAAAGTAAATAATCAACACTCACTTGCTTGACACGGTCTGGGTTCACGTTGGTCTGAGGTTGGAGAATGTTGACTGGCTCAGTCTTGCCAACATTCTGTGGCATTTCACGGACCTTCTCAGCGATGAAGTCGTGGACAGCGTTCAGTGCCTCCACCGTTCCCTGGATCAGACATACCCGCTCTGTGGTGCCTACAGGAGGGGGAGAAATCATCAGAATTCACACATGGGACGTGGTTAGGTTCGGAAAGAACGAACATCAGCTCAGATCATTGATGCACTCCGACCCATGAAGCCGAAGAGCTCAAACCCAATTTCGAGACAACATCATTGTCCTCGAAGGGAAGAAACTCAACCATTTGCGCCACCGCCAATGATGATCCAACTTGCTTCGACTGAAATCCTGGCAAGAAGTGGCTAATCCCAAAGAGCGTGGGCCTCAAGGTGGGCAGTAACTGAACCAGATGGGACACAGATCCCCAAAGCCTTGTTGCCTCCATCTGGAGGGTAGGAAAACCCCATTCAGCGTAGGAAAACTTGAAACCCAACCTCTCAATGGTGCCAATCGAAGCCCAGGAATGGTCAACTGATGGCCACGTGAGGCCAACTCCTGCCTGGCCTCTAATGGTCTCTGCTTCAGGAGGGAAGAGGTACAGGTGGACTAGTCTATTGGCAATAGCAGTAGGCAGGTTGCTAGTGGCTGGGGTGATCATTTTGATTTGATTTGATTGTTGTCATATGTACCGAGATACAGTGGAAAGTATTGTTTTGTGTGCTATCCAGACAAATCTTACCTTACACAAATGCATCAGGGTAATAGAGCAAAATAGCGAATATAGTGTTAGAGCTACAGAGAAGGTGCAGAGAAAGATCAGCTCTAATATATGAGAGGTCCAAATATAAGTCTGATAACAGCGGGGAAGAAGCTGTTATTGAATCTGAGGAAGGGTCACCGGACCCGAAATGTTAACTCTGTTTTTTCCTTCACAGATGGTGCCAGACCTGCTGAGATTTTCCAGCAACTTTGTTTTAGTTCCTGATTTACAGCATCTGCTGTTCTTTCGGTTTTTATCTGTTATTGAATCTGTTGGTACATGTTTTCAAACTGTTGTATCTCTGCCCCTGCGAGAGGGTGGAAGACAGTATAAAAACGCAAAGAACTGTGAATGCTGTAAATCAGAAACAAAAACAAAAATTGCTGAAAAAGCTCACCGGGTCTGGCTGCACCTGTGGAGAGAAATCAGAGTTAACGTTTTGGGTCCGGTGACCCTTCCTCAGAACTGCAAAAGGTGAAGGAGGGTCTGAAGAAAGGTCACTCAACCCGAAACGTTAACTCTGATTTCTCTCCACAGATGCTGCCAGACCTGCTGAGCTTTTCCAGCAATTTCTGTTTTTGTTGGAAGAGTGTATAACCGGGGTGGGAGAGGTCTTTTATTATGTTGTCTGCTTTCCCTGAGTCAGAAGGAAGTGTAGATGGAGTCAATGGAAAGGAGAGATAACGCAGTGTGGAGCTGGAGGAACACAGCAGGCCAGGCAGCGTTAGAGGAGCAGGAAAGTTGACGTTTCGGGTCGGGATCCTTCTTCAGAAATGCCCATTTCTGAAGAAGCATCCCGACCCGACACGCCAACTTTCCTGCTTCTCTGATGCTGCTTGGCCTGCTGCGTTCCTCCAGCTCCACACTGTGTTATCTCTGACTCCAGCATCAGGAGTTCTTACTATCTCTCAATGGAAGGAAGGCTGGTTTGAGTGATGGACTGAACTATGTTCACAACTCTCTGTAATTTTGTGCTAATTTGTGTCTGACAAAGGAACTGGACATAGAGCGGGAAAAGGCTGTTGAAAGCCACCTTCCCCAAGACGGGAAACCGATCAACTCCCGCATAAGAACAAGGAGCAGGAATAGGCAAATCAGCCCTTTGAGCCTGCTATCCCAGAATCATTATGTGGCACAAGTACCCTGGTTAGGTATGTTCACCTAACAGTAACGAGCTGTCTGCTCATAATATTACAACATCAGAGAGAGGCACCAGCGACAGAATCTCCACCACCCTCTGAGGATGAGAATTTTGAAGTTTTGAGCGAAGATATTTCTCCTCATCTCAGCCATGAAAGTTTGGCCACCTATCATCCACCTCATTGGTTTTTTAAAGATTGCTCCAGTTGAGGTGGGCAGAACACAAGTCCTCACTATCTACCCTGTCGAGTGCCCCCCCAATAAAATCACTGCCCCTTCTCCCAATTGCTGGAGAGTGTGGACCAAGTTTAACCCAACCTCTCATTATAGGATGGCTCTCTCATTGCAGGGGAATGATCTTTGCTCTGCTATCTCCAATATTCTTCCTAATCAACCTGTTCACTCTGGAGCAAGTGGGACTTGAACACAGGTCTCCTGGTTCAGAGGTAGGGACATACCCACCACTCCACATGAGGGCCCCTTAAACATTAAAGCAACCTTTGCATAATAATGTCACAGAGCTGTACAGCACAGAAACAGAGCCTTCAGTCCTTCTGAGGAAGGATCATCGGACCTGAAACGTTAACTCTGTTTTTCCCTTCACAGATGCTGCCAGACCTGCTGAGCTTTTCCAGCAACTTCTGTTGTTGTTCCTTCGGTCCAACTTGTTCACACCAACCTGATATCCTAAATTAATCTAGTCCCATTTGCCAGCATTTGGCCCATATCCCTCTAAACCCTTCGTATTCATAAACCCATCCAGATGCCTTTTAAATGTTGTCATTGTACCAGCCTCCACCACTTCCTCTGGCAGCTCATTCCATACACGCACCACCCTCTGTGTGAAATAGTTGCCCCTCAGGTCCCTTTTAAATCTTTCCCCTCTCATCTTAAACCTATGCCCCTCTAGTTTTGGACTCCTATACCCTGCGGAAAAGACCTTGTCTATTCACCCTATCCATGCCCCGTATGATTATATAAAGCTCTGTAAAGTCACCCCTCAGCCTTCCACGCTCCAGGGAAGATAGACCCAGTCCCAGAATAATCAACAATCCACTGGCAGAGCCTCTTTGGAATCTTCCTCATCGCTTCCCCAGTTCAGCTCTTCCCGACTCGTCACTCTTCCAGAGGGTCCAATATTCTTCCTCATACTGAGGCTAAATCTGCTGCAGGTGTGGGTGCAACAGAGACCCTTTATAATTGCAGCAAAATTTCCCTATTCCCAAACTCCAGTCTGGGGGAATGGTGTAATTACATCCAGAGACCTAGGCTGGGTGTGCCGGAGGAACACAGTTTCAAATCCCGTGGGAGTTGGTGGAATTTAAATTCAATTCATAAATCTGGAATTAGAAACTAATCTCACTGATGATGACCACGGTAACAGTCATGGATTGTCGTAAGAACCCATCTGGTTCACTAATAGGGAAGGAAATCTGCCATCCTTACCTGGTCTGGCCTATATTAAGGTGGCTCAGTGGTTAATAGTGCTACCTCATAGTGCCAGGGACCCAGGTTTGATTCCACCCTCGGGCAACTGTCTGTGTGGAGTTTGCACATTCTCCCTGTGTCTGCGTGGGTTTCCTCCGGGTGCTCCGGTTTCCTCCCACAGTCCAAAGATATGCAGGTTAGGGTGGATTGGCCGTGCTGAATTGCCCCATAGTGCCTAGGTATGTATAGGTTAGGTGGATTAGCCATGGGAAATGTAGGGCTACAAGGATTGAGTGGGTCTGGGTGGGATGCTTTTCAGAGGAGTTGGTGTGGACTTGATGGGCCAAATGACCTGCTTCTGCACAGTAGCGATTCCATGAGACTCTGGACCCTCAGCGATGGAGTTGACTGTTAACCACCCTCTGAAACAGCTGTGCAAGACATTCAGTTCAGGGGCAACTGGGGATGGACACCAAATGTTCATGATGCCAACATCCCATGGATGTTAATTTTTGTTAAAAATCCCTCATCAACACAAATTCTAAAATCTGGGTTGTCTCCCTCATTGCCTACCGTATTGCTTATTAATCTGCACACACGTGAGTGCCCCACAGTTTCAAACCTTTATAAAAAATAACTCAGCTTTTCAATTGTTACTATCACAGCCAACACGTATTTGATAATTCTGTGCCAATAGAGAGAGCTGCTAAATATGGCAGCTCGGTGGCTCAGTGGTTAGCACTGCTGCCTACCAGCACCAGGGACCCGGGTTTGATTCTACCCTCGGGCAACTGTCTGTGTGAACTCCACACGTTGTCTGCGTGGGTTTCCTCCCACAGTCCAAGGTGTGTGGATTAGGGTGGATTGCTGTACTAAATTACCCAATGTGCAGGTTAGGTGGATTAGCCATGGGAAATGCAGGGTTACAGGGTTACAGGGATAGGGTCAGGGTTAGGTGGGTTGGTGCAGACTTGATGGGTTGAATGGCCTATTTTCTACACTGTAGGGATTCTAAGATGTTAAGTGGATCAGCCATTATCCTACTGAATGGCAGAGCAGCCTCAAGAGGCCAAATTCCTATTTCTTGTGGATCTTATACAGCCTACATCAAACTGAATAACACAAATCCAAAGAGGAGCCATACTGAACTTGAAACGTTAACGCTGTTTCTCTCTCTACAGATGCTACCAGACCTGCTGAGTTCCTCCAGAAATCTCTGTCTTTGTCTCATTCTGGAGTAATGCTGTTTGCGAGGGCTTGGAGTTACAGAGTCAAACAGCATGGAAACAGACCCTTTGGTCCATCTCGTCCGTCCTGACCAGACATCCCAATCTGATCAGGTCCCATTTGCCAGCATTTGGCCCATATCCCACTAAACCCTTCCTATTCATGTACCCATCCAGATGCCTTTTAAATGTTGTTATTGTACCAGCCTCCACCACTTCCTCTGGCAGTTCGTTCCATACACGCACCACCCTCTGCGTGAAAGTATTGCCCCTCAGATTGCTTGCTGGCTGTTTTATTCACTCACAGGATGTGGATATCGGTGACTGGGCCAGCATTTATTGCCAGTCCCTAGTTGCCTCTTGAGAAGGGCTGCCCCTGGACTTCGAGGGGTCATTTGTTGGCCTGGAAGTGGGGCGTCCTTGAAACGGGGACGTGTGAAATCATAAATCTCCCTTTGGTGCGATGCTGCACAAACACTGTTGTTGTCCACTGACATTTAAGGGGCTGTAACAGGGCAGAAAGAGGCCATTCAACCCATTGTGTCCATTCTGGCTCCTTGCAGTCGTTCCCTACTCAATCCCC